TATCACAAAACAATAAGAGATATTTTATTGCATTTGTGTGTAAGATACTCTTGTCAGTTTTCACACACCATTAGGTTTAATCACTTTGAGGTATATTATGTAACTTGGATAGATTGATTTGTAAGATCTGCACTTGCTAAGGACATGTGAATACTATATATACATATACATTATATAATGTGTATATGTGTATGTATATATCTATATTATGTGTGTATGTGCATATGTATTTGTAATGTAGAATTTCTTTAGCATCCCACAACGAATCAGTTGTAAAGTTTGACTCAATGTCTTTTTAAAGCTACTTGACATTTACTCTTTTCCTCCTCCACAACAGTTATTTCGTGAAGTAGAATCCCTTAGGGAGAAAATATGATTTAATATTAATATAGATATAAAACCAAAAGAAACAAAATACATGCATTTGTACTAAATTGAGAAATGCCTTTGCTAATAACCCATATAAGTATTGCTAATATATAGTGTATTTTAGGGAAATTTAGCATAATATTTCTTAAGGAAAATATATTTCTGCCTTTTTTATCTAAATGAAAAATATAATCAATGCCTTTTAATAAATGTATAAATATGAAATATTTTTAATGTTTAAGTTTTCATTTTCTAGAAAAGTAGGACAATTATTTATATATTGTCTGAAACAATGCAGAGCATCATCTACTGGCATCATCCAGTCATACTATTCATATTAAGTATCTGACTAAAAACATGCATGTATATGGAGCTATATTTACAAATACAAAGACGTGTATTCTCCTTATAGAAGACGATCTCATTTGATCATTAATCCAAATATCCATATGCATATGTGCACATTTTGTGCACATGTATTGTCACACATTTCATTTAATAACTCACTAGTATATATGGAAAATTTAAGCAAATTTATCCCTGGAGATGACGCCAAACATCTGATATACTATACACATAAATCAAACACAGTACGCAAACTGAAAAGAGAAGTTTCAGCAGTTTTAAAAAATAAACAAAAATAGGTTGTGCGTGGTGGCTCATGCTGTAATCCCAGGACTTTGGGAGGCCGAGGCAGGTGGATCACCTGAGGTCGGGAGTTCAAGACCATCCTGACCAATATGGAGCAAACCCCATCTCTATGAAAAATACAAAATTAGCTGGGTGTGGTGGCACATGCCTGTAATCCCAGCTTCTCAGGAGGCTGAGGCACAAGAATCACTTGAACCCGGGAGACAGAGGTTGCGGTGAGCTGAGATTGAGCCATTGCACTCCAGCCTGGGCAACAGGAGCAAAACTCCATCTTAAAAAATAAAAAAATAAAAAAATACTCTCACCTTTCACTAGGTGTCAGAGAAAAAGCATCAGATCACTTCTACACGTTGAAATCCAGGAAATGTAAATATTAAAACATGAAACTGAAAATAAAAGCAAAACTAGTAATTAATTTGTAGACATTTTAAGAAAACTTTTTTCAAAGTATTTGGTGTGAATTGGAATAATTACATATGTGTTTCTTGGGTGCTGTCAATTGAGTCTTACAGTGAGCAGCATCAATTTTACTGGCATATATACTTATGTCTTTTGCCAAATTGTTTATTTGTGAACCATAATATGGAAGACAAAAATTTAATTTTGTCATTTCAATCTTGTTTTATCTTTCCACAATCTACTTTTTCATTTTCTCCATTGCCATTATCAGCAGCAATATTTTTATTGCTATGTAGGTGTTTTATATTTTGAAATTTATTTTCCAACAGGCTGAATTAATTTCCTAGGGCTACTACAACAAAGTACCAGTAACTGGGTGACTTAAAACAAGAGAAATTTATTCTCTCATGGCTCCGGAAACTAGACGTACAAAATCAAAGTCTAGCAGGGCCATGCTCTCCATGATGGTTTGTTCTTCATTTCATCCCATCCCTGTCCTTTTCAGTCCATGCTGGCAATGTTTCTGTTAGTATAAAATTCTCAAAAACTTTGTTCATCTTCTGTGTTGACAGGATCAACAATAGACAACATAGTTCTCTATAGATCCTTGCTCAGTAACTCCTTCTCTAATCCTAACCACTGTTGAAATGGTGGCTTGGATCCATAAGTCACTTGCTTAATCTCTTTAGCAAATGGTTGTTGAGCCATACCCTTGACTCTGTTTCCAAAGCATGTTATCTGATTGACAGCTGAGAATTTTTCAAATCAAGTGCTGCTTCCCTTTTCCTTAAGAGTTCATTCCTCAATTATTCTCTTTTCCTTTAATTAATTTTCTCAATTTTCTTTTTCTCAATTATGCGATTTTCTCAATTACAAAAGTAACTGCAGCTTTTGCCATTAAATAAATTGCCAAAAATGCAAGTACTTTTGCACCTAGCTAATATAAGCATCAAGAAGAGTAACCACATTACACACATCATACTTAGCTTGGAGATCTGGGCTAAGTATCCAAGTTCATCACTTACAAGTTCTACCTTCTGCTTAGTAGTAGATCACAATTTGGCAAAGTTTTCTGCCACTTTATAACAAGGATTGTCTTACTTTCAGTGTCCAAAAATATTTCAATTTGAGATCATTTCCATTTATGACTATATATACGTATATATATACGTACATAGTCATAAAAAAGCTTTCTCTGTAGCTTTGTTTGTGATATATGACCATTTGTGTGTGTGTGTGTGTGTATATATATATATAGTCATAATAAAAGCTTTCTCTGTAGCTTTTCCTTTGCTTTTTTCTGAGCCCCCAGCAAAATCAACTTTAATGTCATTATTTCCTTCAATAGTACATTCAAAACAATGTAGGCTTTTTCTATCAAGTACCCTCAAAGCTCTTTTAGCTTCTACTCATGGCACAATTCTAAAGCCACTTCTACATTTTTAGATATTTTTTATAGCAGCACCTCACTTCACAGTACCAAAATTAGTAATGGTTTTCTAGGGCTGTTGTAACAAAGTACTACAAACTGTGTGGCTAAAAATAACAGAAATGTATTATCTCATAGTTCTGGTGGCTAGAAGTCCAAAATCAAGGTGTCAGTAGGACCATGCTCTGTCTTATGGTTCTAGGAGAGGACCCTTCCTTGACTCTGGTAATTGCCAGCAATCTTAGACACACACTTCAATCTCTGTGTCTATGGTCCCATGATGTTCTCCCTATGTGACTGTCTCTGTGTCTCTGTTTTCCTTCTTACAAGGACACAAGTCTTTGGATTAAGGCCAACTCTAATCCAGTATGACCTCACCTTAAGTAATTACATCTGCAGAGACCCTATTTCCAAATAAGGTCATATTCTGATGTTCTGGGTTTACATACATTTTGGGGTGGGGGTCAGTATCCAATCAAGTACACAGCCTATAGCTGTTTTTTCTTCAAATTGGATGAGATCAATTTTTCTGATTAAAGGAGTTGTGTACTTTATGTGACTGCTTATATTATTTTAAAAATATGTGGCATATTTTGAATATATCTAAATACATTAGATATTGACAATGGAGTTTGGATTATTATCAAGTAAATGTAAAGTGCCTTCTACATAGTAAAATGATTAATGGATATTAAAAAGTCTTATTGTTGGTAGGATTGAAAATCTAAGAGGGTCATGTTATATGTTGAAAAGACAAATGAGTTTGGTAACAAAGTAAGAATATATGAAGGTCATAGACTTTGAGCTTTTTTTATATGTATTTGGCAAGAACTAGTGCTTTTTCAGAATTTCAAGATGAACATAATAACAAGGTAATTTACAGATTATTATTTTTCCCTAAACAAACATTCAGTATATTCTATATTCTCTTTACTCTGTTAAATATTACAATAGTCATCATTTAAATGTGTGTGAGGCAGACTTATTTTCAGGTGTTTCCATCTGTTGTGAGAGTATACTTTAAAAATAGGACAGAAACTTACACAAATTAAACACAAAGCCAGGGGAAAAAGAAAAGAATGAAAGAAACATCCCCAGGGCAACAGTGAGAAAAAAACCATTTGAGCTACTTGTTATTAATTGCTCAACCTGTTTTACCTTGGAATCCTACATAATTATATTCCAGGGGAGGGGCAAACAACAGATGTTGAATAAAAGTTGAATCTCAGAAAATGAGACTATTTTAAAAATAAAGTTACTCTTGCCCACCAACAGGCTTTTTTTAAAATTATTTTTTGGCAGGACTTTTAGGCAGCAATTGATTTCTCATATTCACCATGCATTTGTGCATTTCAATAACATTAATGCAAAACAAAATGTTCTTTTTTTGTTTGTTTTAGTCTAAGAAGTAGATCAAATATACATGTACATAATATATCTAAGTTAGAGGCTCATAAAAAGCAAAACAAAAACAAAAGCAAGAGTATATCACAGCATTTTCTTAATGTTGTATTACATACATGTTTCACGTCAGGTAAAAAAAAAAGAAGATGTTACAGAAATATATATATATCTCTCTCTCTATTTTTATATATATATATATATATTTCTCATTGCTAAAAGTCAGTACATTCTTAAATTAGGTGACTGAGTAAAGGGCTAAATTACAAATAGTCTCTTGTTTCAAGTTCTAGACAGCATATATTGTATAGTTAACGTTAAGATTCAGTACACATTTTTATTAAAACCTTGGTAACTAGGGATATTATAGAATAGTTTGTGACTTTAATTTTTGGGGCCTACTTGTTCACATCTTCTATCCACTATTGCAGAAAATTATTTGATTTAAGGTAAATGAACGCATCATCATCATGAGTGTATTTCTTCCATGGACCTAGGAATACATCTGATTACTTTGCACTGTTTTCATCTCATCTAAACTTAAATACTCCCAGAAAAGTAATTTTCTTCCAATAAGACTAAGTCTTGTGTAGCTGGGGAAATACCAATGACCGTATCTTTTAGATATTCATCATTCTAAGGAATTTTAATATAAAAGTTAAAATCAATAGAGAAGGATTCGTAATTCATTTGGCCCTTTTTCCTACTTGTTTTTTTCTATTTGTTAACTAAAAATATTTTATTTTTCAAGCATTCCCGACTTTGCTTTCCTTTGCTATCCTCACCCTACACACCATCACAAGTAGACTTCAGTCTGTTGATCTGCTTCCTCCAGGTGAGCAATTTCTTCATCTGCTAGCTTTCTTCTCTGTGATCCAAATTTTACTTGTTAGATGATAGCACTCATAAAACTATACATTTGCAAGGCAGAACGTGTGGACCTTATTTCTTTAAAGGAAAATAGCATAGTAAGTGAGTAATTTTCTTTATTGTTTCTTCATTAATGCTCTTACTATTTCAGGAAAAGCTGTATAGTGTTAACGGTTGAAACAAGAATCTAGTCTTACACCAGGTTTTTCATATTTGTTATTCTTAAGTGAGTTTAAGTGGGCCAAATTGTAATTATTTCATATTTTGAAAATTCTACCTCTTATATTAATTTCACTTAGGATATAGGGTAGAATAAACTGATGGAATAGAAAGTGGGGTATACGGGAAAGAAAGACTTGATTATTTTCTTTTGGTGTGAGTTGTTGGTGTAGATGCAATCTGCTTCACTGTTACCACCTGAAGAACTGTTTCACCTGAGAAACTGAGTCCCCAAATTCCTCTTTACTTTTGGACTCAATTACACATCATATTAGCTAAGTGTTACTTTGTGAAAATACAATAAAGACTTCTTTATACAATACTTTTAAAAACCTTTACATAGCAGCCCCATATAGTTTCCTAAAGGCAAGGCAGAACCAAAATTATATAAATTATAATGGCCAATGAGGCTAATGAATATTTAAATCCCTGGAACTCCATAAATTATGCAATATATTTCAATCTCTAAGTATGCACTAGATGTGATTCAGATAATCTTGGAAAACACATTAACATTTGAAACAACTGGAAAAATTAAGTAACAAACAGAAAAAAGTATTCCTATCTCAGGTGAAATTTTAGCTCAACATATTATATTATTCTATGTCTGGATATCATCCAAGTCTCTGAGTCATTTGAAGGCTTTTGAGAGATTTGATTGGTTTCTGCATAGTTTAATCACTACATAAGAAAAACACTTGCTACTAGAGAAAATGATTATATCAGGTTGTTGCTGTGTTTGAAAAACATACATGTATATTATAGCAATCAAAGAATCGCAATTTTTCTTGCTTTATTCATGCCAGAGAAAGAGACAAGGTTGCTTTATTTCTTGTATGGAAATGAATGGAAATTGGAGGAAAATTAGAACAGCTTTAAACAGACAAGGTTGTGGTTGGGAAAGTTATAACTGTCCTTGATTTGGGGGTAATAAGGTGAGAAGTTTGAAACACAAGCGTGGGCGTGTGCATGCACACACACACACATATATAAGGCCTATATAAAGTCTTCCTTGTTACCCTTGAATAACTGATTTCACATTGATTAAATTTTAATTAGTTGGGAAATGAGTTATATTTTTTCATTTAGCAAAAATTAAATTCAAAGGTATCATTTATAGCAATACATCATTTTGGATTTTAGAATGTAAATTCATATACATTATTTCATGTGTTCTTAATATATTTCTGTCTTGATCTCACATCCATTCCCTGCTCAAGTGTATGTGAATGCTCAGTGGTGCATACATGCACAGGCACATGCACACATGTGAAGAACCATGGCCATTTACCAACAAGAAACACAGAGCTAGTGTTGTGATTGAGCACCAGGAAAACTGGAAGCTGTTGTTAGGTAAATTAAGCCTGATTTTATGTCCACTAAGTGGTTCTCAGAGATTGTTGCCTTTAGGCAAGGCCCCTTCTATTCATTTCCATCTGGCATATGAATGTAATTATTTAGTCATGTGTATGAAGGATGCATGCATAACCATATGTACCTTTGCTTTTTAGCTGTATTCCTTGGGTGATAATTATGTGACAAATTTGAAGTTATCTTTTTAAACTTACGTTTTCTCAGTTAAAGTATCAAGATAATCAGAAGAGCAAAGCTTGCAAATATTTTCTATGAATATATATACTATAAAACTCTTCAATTTAGAATACAATTGTTGAGGCTACTGAATGTAGTTTTGCATATTTTTATTATCATAAAATTACTATAATATAATAATTTTGTCTCTGTTATAAAATAATCATACTAATATTTTTATTTTTGTTTAAATTATCTCCCAAATAGTTCATATAGATATAATCTTTGTGTTTTATAGGTAATAAATACATCAATGAGTTATGTATCTTGGGATGTATAGTTTTTAATAAATTCTTAATCTAACAATACATTATTTATATTTGGGATTTTATGCAGATATATTTACTTTTAGTAAGAAAACAACTATATTCAATAAGAAAAAAAGCCTAAGTTTCTTTTTACTAAGGACTGCTAACCTAGTAATTTTTCCATTTTATAATAATACCAGGTAGGTTTCCTTTGTGATCATAAATACTTTTTTCATTTAAACAATGAGCATTAAAATAAATAAATTACTGGAAATTTGTCGAATCAAATAGTTTAATTGTAGTTCACTTACAGGTAGACCTTGGATTTTTATGCTGGGTAACTTTATCTCAAGTCAAAAACTCATCTGAACCTGAAAAATGTACACATTCAAGGTTAGAGTGAAACTTACTTAAATTCAAGTGTTTTTCTCCTTTGTGCAGAGACTTCGTGATCCCAATTATGTGTGGAATAGAAGTGTCCACATTCTCCAATTGACTTATGAATTATATTTCTAAAGGAATTTTAGGGTCCAGTTAGAAGACTACTGCTACTTTCCTAAACATTATAAAGAAATTTGCTGTGAAAGCAAATGTAAAAATCTGACTTGCTAGAATTTTTTAATATTAGAATTATTTTTTTAATATTAGAATTGCCTAAAAATTTTATTTTGGCCAGATTGTGGAGATCTTAGAACACCAAACTGAATAATTAATCATACATTCATTTTTGATAATGAATATGAAAATTGTTAAATAACTCCTTGAAAATACCTTCGGCAGCAACAAAAAATCACTTACTTCTAAGATTGAATGAAAAGATTATTAATAAGAAAAACTCAAAAATAGCATGTTTGAATTAAGAAAGACTGTCTTAATTAGTTCTTCTGTTATATCAACATGAATTCCTTTTTAGATTAGATTCAGATTGCAAGTCTGAAAATAAAATAATTGCTTATATATTTGTATTTGTTTTCAAATCACAGAAAATACTCTCCAAGATGAGAAAGTATTTAAAACATCACTGTTAGTCACTTTTTTGTCTCCATACTGTATGTTTCATGGTACCATTTTCTTTAAAAACACATTTTTATCTTTACTGTGATTCAGAAATAGCCCTCTCCAGTAGCTTTTTTGCCCCTCAGTTTGATTACATAGCAGGATAATCTAAAGAGCCACATCTCCTCTCTTTTAATATGTAAATTTCCTGACCTCTTTTTACCAATTTCTCCATTGCTTGTGTTTTAATGATTACAAAACATTAAAGCTGTTACTAGAAAAAAGGCTTGTCATTGCCAGTAAAACCTATTTCAAGAAACATTTCTGTATATTTACTTTAGAACATGGATATTGAGTGCATTGATTTTACTTAAAGTTTTATTCTTGGGATGAACCAATTGTAGAGGATAAAACACATCAGCTTCCAATAAATTTATAGCACAGTTACAGGTAATAAGAACAGAATGGTTTTAGAGAAGTAATTCCAAGAACAGCCTTTATTCAAAATATCAGTTGTCAATCCTTTCCTACTCTTTAGAGATACTTTTGATTATTTAAAATAATAGTAGCCATAAGATTCACGGTTTCAGCAGCTTAGTGGTAGGGGTACTTGTTTGAGTAAGATCAAGGCCGAATTGTTTAGGTCCAAATGCCTGTATTTTATTCTAAAGTTACCTTTGGAAACTATCGTTTTAATTGTCCTCTCAGAAAGAATCCACTTCATCGGAGACATTTGTATGTATTTATTAAAGTATGTATTTATTGTTATTTTTCTGTGTGTGTGCATGCATGCACATATACACGTATGCATGAATGCATTTAGCTTTAGTTTTTACATTTTTGTTATATAAGTACTTTTTGCAGAATCATTTATGGAGTAGTATAGTTTCATATATATTTCTCACTCATTTGAATCTTTAAAAAAACCTTTTGTATTACTTCTTTCTTCAAAAGTATAATATTTTTGAAAATATTTGAGCAAGACATCCATCTGTTCATCTAAACACGTTCGTCTAAACATGTTCATCTAATTTGAGTTAACAAAGGAAACTTTAGATCTATCCCAAATAGAAATCTTTGAGTTTAATAAATAGCTTCTGGAAACTAGAAAGTCATTAAAAATATTAAAATATTAAAAACATTCTTTAAAAATCTATCTTCTGGGACTCCCATATCCTATTGGCAGAGGTTGATTGCTAAATAATAAGCCAGAGAAGATGAACTGCATCTGAATTAACTGTTTCCTGAGAGTGCTAAAACTGACACCTGATTCTGTTTGCTTGTTTCTAGCAATTGAAAACAAGAGCTGCTAGAAACAAGATGAACAACAGGATTTAAACTGATAAATAGATATACATCCCAACAGCAATCAGATAGCAGGCAGAGAAAAACACTAATAAGACTCTCTTGCTTGCTTCTTACAACGAGTTTGGCTTAATAGGCATGTTTTCATTGACCTTCCTTACAGGATTACCACTTTGCTAGGAGGATGACTTGAATCTTAGATGTATTCATCCATGTCATCAAAAACGGTGTCATTATCAGAGATGGGGTTAGCTTACAGAGGCAATAAAAGCATAAGGAAAACATCCTTTCTAAAGATGAAGAATAGTAGAATACTTAAACAGTCTTGGGTCTGAAATTCACAGTATTATTTAAGTTGCTAGAATTTTAAATTTGTCCTTGTAAACCAAACAGCTTTTGCTAACTGCTGCATGCCGGAGCATAGGTTTCTCACTGCATATAAATCAGGTTCTTTTGGAAATTGCATTAACTCTTTCAAGACTCTAAAATTACAGACTTATTAATTAATTCATATGTTGATGATAGCTGTTGGCTAAAGTGTAAGCTACAGAGACAGCTCACTTAAAAGAGAAAACTGCCTCATTTGACACGGCAATGCAGTAGAGGA